CCGTTACCGGGGCTGGTCGGGGCAGCGCCGGGGGCCGCGTCGGGGCCGCGTTATAGCCCTGTCTCCTCGGGATCCCCGCGCAGGGTTTAAGCCCGGGCGTTTCCGCCCTTCCCGAGCTCTTTCTCGCCCCTGTTCTGGGAACGGTTCTGAAGGAAACCGGTAAGAAGGGGGCGTCCTCTCCGGTGTGCCGCGGCTGGTGCTCTGAGCAAACTTACGGCGTCTTCTGAGCCCTTGAAGAGAAATCAAAGACTCGGTGTGACACTTCAGAATTCTCTTTTCCTGTTGAAAGCCAAATACGCTCTCTCGTTCTCAGGGGTTGACGGTTATTCGCTGAAGTACCTACACGGCTTCTAGCTCGCTCACAGCGGGAGGAGGCCTCCAGGAGGCCGCAGCGTCTCTTCTGCTCTCCCGTCCCTCCTCCGCTCGCTGGTGCTGCCCGGCCTTTCGGAGAAATTGCAGATTACGGTAGAATTAGGTTAAACTGGCACTGAACTTACCCTTTCTGTTCTGCAGCGGCCATTAATGAGATAATTTCCCCTTTGGGGGGATTTGTTTGTTTGCTTTTAAGAAGCAGCAGAAAGTGATCAGACTTCACGTTTCTCTTCTTCTGTCATGTTCAGGGAGGAGACACAGGCCTGAGAGCGCAGTTTCTTAGGAAAAAGAAAAGTAGCGGTATTTACTTCGTTATGCTTGCTATTGTCCAGATCTGCATGAATTTCTGGACAGTGCAGACACTATTGTCAGTGCCTTCTGCAAGTAGTAATTCATGTTCAAGTCTTTCTAATAACAGTGCTCCTCTAGTTTTCTCTCATCTATTTTAACGTCATATAACTGTAGCAGTGTGGTTGGGCATCAAACCTCCTGACAGCCCCTTTGCAATGACTGCGCAATGAGTTGCTCTGGAGGAGATTATTTAAGTAGCAGGTTACAACATCATCTCACGTATGTTCTTCGCTTCCTGTAAAATGAGACCTTGTCCTGTTTTGGTGAGCAGCGATTTGTGCATTTACTGTCAGCTGCTTTCCATCACTCCCGCAAAACCTCAACCTGCAAGTCAGGAGCTGGCTCTCACGCTGTTCTTCTTTTCTGTATGCTTGTTAGATGATCTTAATTAGCAAGATTACCAGATCAGTTTTAGAATATTCTTTAAGAGAATAATTCACACATTCACCACACGGTGGTGACAAAGGTAGGTAAAACAAAACTCAGCAAATAGTTAAGTGAGCTCTCAGCAAGAACATGAACTATTTATTGCACAGGTACCTAACAGATTATAGACCTTCGCTGCACTTCGATAAGTGCGCTGCGGATAGTGAGAGCTGACCTGCTGGCGTGTCATACAACATAGAATCATAGAATCATAGAATCATTAAGGTTGGAAAAGACCTCTAAGATCATTGAGTCCAACCGTGTGTCTCCTAACAGGAGCACGATGTGAATATTAGCCTGGGGGGGGAAGAGAGGAGGCGGTGGTGTTACCGTAGTGTGTGCAATGGATTTAGTCTGGAGGGCTCTTCTGCATAATTAAAAAACAACTGTATTAAAAGTGTATTTGAACATAACGATTGGAAGTTCAGTAACAAATATTGCAGTAAATACAGTGTTATCAAAGGAGTGCCGCCGGTAAGCATTCCAGGCTCCTCTGGAATCTCTGATACTTAACTGATTTCTTGCTGTTACAATTTGGGCCCTTTCTGGTAGACCATGAGCTCCACAGCCTGTGAGAGGGCTTGGAAGAGTCGTGTTAAAGCTTGACAGTAAAGTATTTCTAATTATTTTCTTAAGCAGCCTGAAAGGTTTTTTTATTTTTTACCTGTGTGCTGAGGCACTTTAAAATAAATCTCTGTCACTTATGAACATATCCCTCAGGTAGAAGTGTAACTTACGTATTTTAGACCACGTCTCTCCTGTCACTATTCACACTGAACTTGGCTACCTAATTATACGCAGCGTGGCCGATGTTGTATTTTAAAAGTTAAGTTAGCTTCAAAATATTACTTAACTGAGAGAAACTTCTTACATCTTAGACACCATATCTGATTACAAAGATATTGAAGCTGATATTAAATGTAATGAGCTTGAATGTGAAGGATAGAGACGTTCCTACTTCTGTTGTGCAAACTATTGTCAGTCACTGGCAGCAATCAGTGAAATGCTTGGAAGAGCCCCTGGGGTGATGCACCCTGCCATTCTCATCACAGCCTACCCTACAGTTGCGAGGAACAGCTCACACGGTGGGCAAAGTTATTGAGTAACTCAGGTGGACAAGGCCATAGCAGGGGCTGTTCCTCTTCGACTTGCTCTGGTTTGGTGTGCTGAGAGGTTTGGGAGGGCGTGGAGAGGGGGTGGGATGGCGCTTGCCCCATCCCTTCCCACGCAGACAGCTGGGACAGCATACCTGGGCATGGCTTCTGTAGCATGCCCGCTCCATGGGCTGGACTGTGCTTTGGGAAGCCAGCTCAGCTAGGCTCAGGTCCTAGGAAACAAAAGCAAGGCAAGGGGTGGCTATATCCGTATGCAAATCTGGCATTTCTGCTACATTTACCCAATGGGCATGCGTGATTTTATTGACATGATTCCTCAGTGAGGGGCTGTGCTCCCCACAAGGCCCCTATTATTATCCAGATTTATCTGGTTGGATTTTACTCGCCTTATTCAATTGCAAGGGAATTGTTTTGCCTGAGCCTTGATTTCTCTACCCACTCCCAGTGAAGCCCAGCCAGGTTCATACTGTACATGCCAACGCCTGACCTGCCAGAGCAGCAGAGCTTCCTGCAGCCCCGCCGAGCTCCGGTGGCTCACGGTTAGGACCTCGGCTCCTGCCAGGCGCCGTGTGTCAGCGGGGTCTCTGGTGCATAGCCTGGAGCGTAACAAAACCTCCCCCTGCCTCACCAGAGGACTGCTCCCAAAGCCTTGGGCAACTCCGCAACGGAGCGGCAAGGGTCAACACTTGGGTGCAGATGTTTTCAGATCACACACTATCAAATGTCACAAGAGAAAATGCATTTGGCAGAGGATCATCTGCAGTCCTGGAGGGGATATGGAAATTTCTGATGCTTTAATTTAAAAAAGAAAGAAAGAGGGAAAAAAAAGCGCGGGGGGGAGGAGGGGGTGCAGGGGAGCAGACAAATCACATCAAGTATGAAGCCTGTGGGCAGAAAGCAACTCCGTGTGAAAGGAGGATACAAAAGCATTTCCCAAATCTATGGGCCTGACACACATGCAATTAAGCCACATATTTATTGATACACACAGAAATGCCAAATAACAATTTTAGCATAGAGTGTTTACCGGTAGCTTTCTCCTTGAATTCAGCCTATTCCCCCCCAAACTGGAGTAGGGGGCTGTAACAGGACGCCCAGTGGTGGCAGAGAGCCACTGGGTTGCAGTGCAGGTGTTCTCCGCTGCCAAAAGGGGTCCTGTGGCGAATGGATCGAATGGTGCATCTTGGGAAGAGGCTCAGGAAGAACGATGTTTGGGCAGTATCTATCCCACCAAAAGTCCGGTGGGTGTCATCCAACAGAAGGTGTGGAAGCCCTGGCGCTGGACCCTCCAGAAGACAAAGAGGAACCCAGGGAGATCGACCCACCTCTTGTGAAGCTGCACAGTACCATGCTTCTTTGTAAATACCGTCTTGGCTTGTGTTTCAAAGGTTTGTTATTCATTCTGTCATGTCTTGGGGAAACATACTTTGGCAAATCTATTCCCTTCTTATTTCTAGTTCTACAAAGCTAGAATTAGGCCTAACATCTGTCACAAAAGTTGTGGGGTCTCACTTTAACCTCTTACTGTTTTTTCATCATTTTTACTAAAATTCCTTAATGCATTATGATAAAATCTCCCAAAGCATTTTATAGTGATAAAATTAGACAATAAGAAACAGTGCAATGTGGAAAATCAGCTCGATACTTTGAAACCAGAAGCAATGCTAGAAGGGATAAGCATATTCAAGAGCTCCACATTGGTTTTGCAGAAGTACAGATATATATGTGTGTGTGTGAGATGAGGAATATTTTCTGCTCAGTACTGGTGTCAGTGATTATGCGTGGCACATAATACATTAAAAATAAAAATTAAAAAAGCAAGCAAAGCGTTTGCTTGGTTTTTAGGTGAAAGGGAGATCCATAATTCAATGTTTTATGACAAGGACGGCGCCTTTAAACCGTTCCTTTTCTCTCTTTCCCACCCTCCACTACCCAAGAGGGTTAGGGAGCTTGTCTGCTCTCTCTTCTCACAGCTGGGGCAGCTGTCAGCAGCGTGAGCAGAAACACCCTCTACACTGGAAGTGGTTCTCCAAGGCAGCAGGAGAGCTCTGGGCAGCCCGGCATTTAAGAGCGGGCACTATCGCAAGCCTAATTTGCTATCGAGTACCTGCATAAGCAGTTCAGGTCCAGCTGGCACAAAGCTGCACACCAGGGCTGCCTGGTAAGTCTGTTACAGGTAATTCTTCATGAAAATTGTTCCATGTAAGAATGCATCATCCAGGCAACATCTCAAAAGAGGAGCGGTTTGGGATCTTCGCATCTGGAAGATGTACATCTCGGTATCAACAATATTGATGTTTTGCTTAGCACAACCTGCCTCCTACTGAATCCCAGGGCCATGCTGTGAAAGCAAGAGGAGATCCCAGCAATCCAGCATCACCTTGCACTATGCCTCGCAGCAGAGAATTATGCCCCAGGTACAATTTCTGGTCCCCTGCTGAGATCAGACTGCCCGAGTAGCAAAGACCTGGTTGGCAGGAGATTAAAAAACAGCCTCTCCCCAGAGTGCTCAAAACCCCACTGTCGTAAAAGCGGGTATTTCACCAGCTGGTATGGAGATTCAATTTCCACCAGTCTTTACACACAGCAGGCAGGCAGAGGAAGCTGTGAAAAAGACAAGATTCCCCATTGCTATGTGTTTTTTCCATTTAAGTAAAGCTGATTTAGGTTGTACTAGCACAGCCTGCGTATCTTATACCCCACAGAAAAAGAGAATATGCACTGCCTTCTATGGGCTCTGAACTCATCCAACAGTCCTGTCATCTTGGGAAACTTCTTTTGCTTTCTTAAGCCTCTATTCCATCCCAACCCTTGTGGGTTTGATTGGTTTGGGGGTTGTTTTTTTTAAAGAAACATTGAAGAGATGACATGGTTCATTTTGTCAACCAGTTTTTAATAGAAACATATAATACACCTTCTCACATAAATATTTTATATAGACACATAAACACTCACAATACTCAAACCTATGCAATGTTCCAAAGCTCCAGTTCTGTTTAAACAGTGCAAGGAAAAGAAAAAAAATCATCGGCACAGAAGGAGTGGAAGTGTGAAGTTTCTAAAACGTTAACAGTCAGACCATTTCTCTTGTGTCCTTACACTTCACTTAAATACTGACTGCCTCAACGTGTCAACCAATTGTGTTCTTACACTACAGCTGCAGGGGCAAGCAGGGCCAGTGCACGTTCACCAATAGTGTATTGCCAGCAACAGAGGTCATTCCGAGAGGGATCCGACAGCGATCCTGCCATATATAGAAGGGATCACACCACCTTCTCTGGAATCCAAGCTAAGATGGCTTTGGAAATTATTATCTGATAGGATTGTTAGCGTTGAATTGTTGGCGTGATGCAGGTAGGTGATTAAGCACCCGTGTCCGGATCTTTTATTTGATTTACTTTGCATTTAGGTTGTACAGTGACCATTTGTTGTTAATTAGAAGCATACAACCTCAAGGACAATACATCTAAACTTCAAGTCCGCACACTTGTTTTTCTTGACTTGCTATATCTATCAAGAAGTAACTTTGACAAATCAGTTCAGAAACAACATTTTTGAATAGGGGAAAAGGATCAGAGCTGACAAATAGTCTTGTGCCTCCCTGTGTGATACAGCTTTCAGAAGACAGTGAAACAGAACTTCAGGCTTTCACTTCCCCTATATATGAGAGACCTGACAAGAGAAATAATAAAGAAAAACAAACAACAAACTTGCACTGCAAAATTCACTCTCCCCAGCTCACATGTAGAGAAGTTTTTGGATTTGCAGCACCAGGGGTTGATGAAACACAGTGCAGTTTAGTTTCTCTATTTCTTAAACTCAAAGGAGCCCAGGCTAAATCACAAATCAAAAGCATATACTTTTTCACTCTACTGCAACAACAAAGAGCCACCTCATTCTCCACAAAGTGAGGGGAATGGAAGAACTTTCCCAAAGGAAAAGCTAACACTGCTTTAGGCCTGAATCCAGATTTAAAAAAAAACAAACAAACAAAACCCAATAGACTTTAAGACACTAGCACATCAGAATAAATTCTCTAGTTCTTCCTTTGTTATGTGACCAGGCAGGAGTATAGGGCGTAAAAGCCACTGAAGTGTTCCTGCATTTCAAGTTTCTGATGAGGACGTTACTTAATTCAAGATTTATCACCTGGCATTCTTTGCTCGCTTGCCTCATTTTTAAGAGCCTAAGTTTCTGTCTGCACAAGTTGCACGCTGCTTTGCCATTGCTAAATCAGGAACTAAAATATTCGTGAAGCACCTTGCAGGCGACACCATGCACAGCCCTTGACTGCCACAGCCCAGGATGAACAACAGATCCAACTCACACACCAGATTAAGAAAGCCCCAAATAAATTCAGGCTTCCAGTATAATATGTTGGTTTGATCCCATGCGTAGGGAAGCAAAAGACACATGAGGTAACTCATTTAATTGCCACCTTACTCCGCCCGGTCAGCAATCCTAGACTTGGTTCTCCACCTCTCTGTGCCAGTAGTGCTCAGGATAACAAACAGCAGGATGTGCAGTTACCACTGTTTCATGCACCCTCACGAGTTCAGGTCACTAAGGGTAGGAGGGACAGCAAAAGAAAGGAACAGTTCTTCATATTTAGGATTTGGCAAATGATGTGCCTACATGCCTGACAGTGAGAAGCAGCAGAGGGAATCTGACAGCTTGTCAGTCACAACGTGGAATGATTTGATGCAGTGCTCTATTATTAACATATTGACATGTGCGCACGGGACCCTCCACCACCATTCTTGGAGACTCCTGCACTGTATAGTGCCAGTCTCCCCTCGCAGACGGGCTGAGGCTAAAAACAGGCAGCACCTTCCAAGCCTCCAGCCTGTCCCCTTACACTTTACTCAGACTTAACTTTCACGTCAGCCATTAAACCTTCTTGGAGTTGGAATCTGATAAAGAACGTCTTTTACTATCCACGTCCCCTCTACTCTTGTGCTCAGGAGATTGCCAGGGCAGGCAGTGATTGTGCAAATTACACTCTAAATTTTACGAACAACAGGTAGGTAGTACCGGTTTTTTGTACAGCTACAGTGTCATGTCTTCATATTTAGAGACATCTGCTCTGTTTCTAAAGTGAATTGTAATATCCCTAGGTATTTAAGAAAATAAAAGCCAAAGCTATGTTTTCTGCAAGGCACGCTACAGAACAGGATGCATACTTCTATACCCAGCTTTGCGGCAATGCCAACGGAGCTGCAAGAGTCCCAACCCAGACAGCCAGCACAGAGGCACAAGTGAAGAGGGGAGCAGGCTGTACCCAAGTTTGCACAGCACGCACTATGA